CTATCCCTAAGATTCCTCAATAACTCAAGATTAAGGATGAAAAACAAATCAAAAGTACGTAAAAATCCAAAAATTTTCTAGGCTTGCCATTGTTTTGATCTTTGTTTAATATCATTATACTCATACAAAATTTGCAATAATATATACATATCAAAACTGTAAAAAAAACACTGGTTATCAAATGGAGATATTTTCTCACTAAGTATGCAACAGTTATTTAAAAGGTTTTAGCCTACATAGTAGCAGTTTTGTTTTAGAATTTGTCTCTCAATTTCTAAGAAAAGTGCATCACAAAAATGTATCTTACATTTATTCATGACCATTTCCTAAATAAGTAAGTTCTAAAAAGACGATGCCACAAACTTTCTACCAAAACAGCTTCTCCACAGATTATACCTTCCAATGTTTTAAGCCTCTACTACTACTTCCAATTTTTACACCATACACTACATAAAGTTAGAATTATCGATTCTGTCAGTGACCTGACACTTTCTTGTTAGTGAATATCTATCCTCAAATTGGAGAGAGAAAGCCTAGCTGGAAGATCATCCCTATTATCAATATTCAGTAACCTCTATAAGAACATAATACCCTTAAAACAGCTGTTCAGAGAACCAGGATCTGGTTCAGGTGTGTTTATAATTCATTCAAAACAAAGTCATATAACACAACAAAAACTTATCAATACTTACAAACATAAAAATCTTCAAAATCGTTATTTTAATATGTCAATTTAGATGTCACCATTTGACAGAATGTGTAGTCTTCACTGGGAGACCCTGTTTCAGAATTTGTGAACCACCTGAACAAAACATCCAGTAATATTCACAGTAATTCAAATTCAATGATGAGGAACCCACTTTGAGACTAATAATGCTTGGAGACAGCTTGAATGGGCAATGAAGATAAACTTTAATATAAGTTTAAAATAAGTTATGTTAAACTTATATTAAAGTATTTCTTCATTACCTATTCAAGCTGTCTCCAAGCATTATTTTAATATAAGTTTAACATAAGTTATATTATGTTAAACTGATATTAAAGTTTTTCTTCATTACCCATTCAAGCCGTCTCCAAGCATTATTACTCACAGTAATTGCAGTACATGAGAGAAAAAAAAATATAACTCAATTTAATATATGTGATAAACATACAGGACTTTGTAATATTGATCTGTTGACAACAGTCCGTATACCAGAGAAAAAGATCATATAATTGTGTAGAATAATAATAAAACAAAAAATATATAAAAAGCCTTCAACGTCTAACTGATAACACAAATAAGCCCAGAAAACAGTTGAAACTACACATCTTATATGCAAAATACAGATCCAAACAGTTAATATAATCAAGTATCAATGTGGATAATTCACCTACTATTTTAACAATAGGCCCAGAATTGAATCCACTTTTGCAAGCACATTTATTCATTCTGAGGACTTCCCTGAAGAGGGCAGTAGATAAAAAGTCCAGATTTAGGGTAAAACCTGACTTATAATTGGCAACTATGATGATAAATTAACAAATCAAAATTAGATGACTATATAGACTACTAATCACTAAACTGTTAGGTATCTAATCACCAAACCCTTATCATAAATACTTGTCATAGGTTTAGTTGATATCTATACGCACTTATTAGCAAATAACAAACCCTAACCATAAAAATGGTACATCATTTAAACCTCCTCTATAAAAGATAAAAACTGTTAACATAGAAAAAATCTAATCTTTCACAGCATACTACTCCTCAGTTTATAGAGAAATCTGAGTTATATTCTGGTAATGACACTCAATACCTAATAATAGTTTCAAAGGATTGTATTTATACTATATATAGTTTTTTAACCAAGATTTTTGTTTATCCATATCACACATTTCAATGTTTTATCCTTAGTTTTAATGGTTTGGTTTTTAAGGTGATCACTACTCCCTATTTCTTTGTTACACACAAGTATAAGGGCTCCACACTCTATACCCACTGATGTTAAATCTATACCAGTGCTTCCCCACCTTGATTATCATGGTGAGACATAAATGCTCATACCCCAGCTTTGAGAAGTCATAGGCTAATGATTAAAGATATAATGAAAGCCTTCTTTCATTCTTTTCAAGTGTATAATTTTCACTTCAGCAGAGATTTGCATTAAAATCAAAACAAAGTGATTAAGCATAACTTAATAAAATGTTGACAAAAAAACTGTTCCTATACACTTCCATAACAATTTCAAACCTGAATTCATTTTAATTACAGTGTGATAAGAAATGTTTTTCACAGAACATGATGTAGGCTTACTTAAAACATTACTCATTCAGTCACATGAATGGAAAAATATGTAAAAAATAATAATATACATAAATGAATATAAAATGGCTTAAAAAAGTTATACTCATATTAACCCTTTATATATAGGTTGCAAGTGACCTCAGTCAATTTGACAATTGCAAGTCACGACATTTTACAGAGTTGGTGTGGGAACTTAATGAGTTGCAACTGCCTTTAATATCAGTGTATATCAATAAACTTGACATTAAAAGATATCTTATGGTTAAAACTTTATACTGTCCAAGTTTCAATTTCTTAATTTCAAATGGAAATATTTAAAAATTCTCAGTCTTCACTCTTGCTTTTACCTGACATGCATGCACTCTCAATTCTTCCTTTCAGTTTGTATAGCTTTTACAGTGTCTTACTAAACACTGACATAAACTAATACCAAGATAAAATGTACAAATTTAACATCCTGATTTCTCCATCTTTTCTTAACTTGAAAGTTAGTTTCAACTTGTTCTTATTTGACATATATATTTATATCCAATAGAAATAACATTCATTTTCATTTTCACAGCAATAGATGCTAGTTGAGATGATATGACTGATATATAACATTCATTTTCATTTTCACAGCAATAGATGCTAGTTGAGATGATATGACTGATATATAACATTCATTTTCATTTTCACAGCAATAGATGCTAGGTGAGATGATATGACTGATATATAACATTCATTTTCATTTTCACAGCAATAGATGCTAGTTGAGATGATATGACTGATATATAACTTTCATTTTCACAGCAATAGATGTTAGTTGAGATGATATGACTGATATGTGTTAAGCAAAGTCATTGCTCACAGCAGTAATGGATTTTTTTTAAAAACCTATTAATAGTTTAGTTAAAAAGCAAGGTACGTAATAATATTTTTGGGACATTATCTTCTGGTAACTGACATTTTTTGTTGTTGTAAAATGCATATTTGAAAGGTCTATGAACTTTTGTTTGGAAAATGTACTTTGATAAAAAAAATCAAAGCCTGGTGAGCAATAATTTCATGTGCAAAATGTTCATACTGTTCTTGCTGTGCAGTACGTCAGTAAATGAGAATCTGCTAATGTGTTCTAGCTATGATGTATTGTTTTTGCTACATGAATAACTGCTTCCACAGTACTAGCTAAGAAACAAAACCAAAAACTTTAAATATATATTCATGTGAAAAGGATGACAGTTGAAATTATGAATAACATTATTTGAATATGTGGCAAGAGATGATGCATTAAAAGAAAAAATTCCAAATTTTATAATACATTGATGATTTAGCTATGGTTAATGTTAGACTAGAGGAAATAAGAGATAAGATATGTTTTTAATGAAAAAAGTTTTTTAATCATTCAGTATGTTAACTGAGGTCAATAGAGGTATTTTTATTCTTAATTTGAAAATTACTTTTCAATTCAGAAATTCACAGAAAAATCTTCAGTAAAAACACTTAATTAGAATATCTGATTTTTTGTATGCAACAAATTTATATTGTTTACTAAAAGCTTGCCAAGTTTTGTGAAGATAACCTAGTACATTCATATTTATAGTGTGTATAGTTTCACAGTTACATGATGTTTAAAAGATCTGTAAATTGACCTATTTTTGATGGGCCAGTATCAAAGGCTTAATAACAAATCTGCGAGTCAAATAGACACTTTTGGGGGATCAATTTCTAAATAAAACTTTCTGGTACTCACTTTTTGAAACTATGAATAGAGAGTTAGGTTCCTTGATATATCTGTAACCTGAACTGCTTACCTGCATGGCTGAATTTGTGCTAATTTCCAGCTTATGAAGAACTAAAACCTATACTCTTATCCACAATCCAACACAAAATACAGAAGTGGATGCACATATTGTGCAATACAAGATCTGCTTCCTCAGCTTTATAAACTCCAGTATATCCACATTCAGAAGTAGCTGAATCAAGACCCAAGTGGTCATCCCAGTGTATCACTTTCAGAAGTAGCTGAATCAAGACCCAAGTGGTCATCCCAGTGTATCACTTTCAGAAGTGGTTCTATCAAACCTCAAGTAAAGTAGTAACCACATTCAGAAGTAGCTGAATCAAGACCCTATTAGAGTAACTAGCCCTATAAGTATTCAAATATAAGTATATGATAGATGATGACCCAAAGTAATCAACCTTAAGTCTAAGATAAAGTCGAGAACTAATAACAAGATTTCTGATCTATAAAAAACAAAAAAAATTATAAGTTCCTCACAGAAAACCAGTCTTCAGAGATCATCCTCTCTTATATATTCAGCATGCATAATACCGGTGAGAAAAAAGGACACATTTCATAAGTATGTAATTTTACCTTTTAATGGAATTATACATATGACCTAAGATTACACTTGTAACCTGAATGCATAGTCCAACATTTTTCACTTTGCTTCCATTAAATTTCTGGGTGCCTAAAATGACAAAAAAATCTTAGATCATCTTTCCATATTGAGTTGATCTGAACTATAATAACATGTTCTATTTGGTGGCTTTTTTCTCCATTTTTGGGCTAAAATTTAAAACGTTAATTTGGTATACAAAATAATAATACGTTGGCAAAGAACAATTTATAAGCATAATGATTTATTTTGGGGGGAACATACTACATGTTTTGACAGAAAACTGGTCTGTCTTCTTCAGGTATGGAAGCATGTATATGTTCCTCCAAAAAATAAATAATTTTATATGCTTATAAATCTTTGTTTGCTAATTTATTATTATATTAGCATAATATTATGATGTTCATATAATTAACCCCCTAACTATTAATTTAGTATTACTCCCTAATTAGTTCATGTACTCACAAGGTGTTGTGAGTAGGAGGTTTTGAGTTTCTCCTTATGGCAGAATACACACGTTTTTCAACCCGAATATTTTATTGTGTGATTGTGACATTTATTTGGATCATACACAAACATCATCTAATTAGAGATAAGGCTTAACTATCGAAGCACAAACTATTTGTGGATGGTTTTGTTGCATGTTTCTACTCTTTGTTGTGTTAGAAACTTTTGCTGGATTGCCACTCACTGACTGTATGAACCTCGCACACAGAGTGAATTCCTGGAAAAGTGATGTCGCAGCTGAACTGTTCAATTTCTTAGGGAGCATTCTTTTTGTACATTGGAGAGGAACTATCATAAATTATCATGGCACTTTATAGACACACTGGTTAATACCAGAAGGACTCTGGAGATTTCTCAAGTTATGTGGAACAAATGGAATTTTATTTCATAGCCAATGACATTACAGATGAAGCCAAGAAGAAAGCAATATTCTTGAGTTTGTGTGAAAGTGATACTTATAAATTGTTGAGAAATTTGATCAGTCCTGATAAACCAGGAGAAACTTCATTTGCTGACAATGTAAAAACTTTTAAGGACATTATAATCCTAAACCATCATCCTGTTCAAGAAGATTTGCATTCAACTCTTGTGTTCAAAAACTATGTTGCTTAGTTGAAATATATTACAAAGGATTGTGAATTTGGGGATCAGTTGGAAAATATGCTTTGAGATAATTTGTCAGTGGATGCAAGGGATCCCACACATGATGAACAGACTTGTGGAACTTATTCAGGAAGCTAACTATACATATGCTAAAGCAGTTAGTACAGCTCAGACTCTTGAGGCTACAACTCAGTATGTCCAAGCTTGCAGTATTAGTAGTGACACAAATTCAACTACATCTGTTGTACATCATATGCAACATAAGACAAAGAAATTTATCAAGGTGAAGCAAGAGAAACCCATCTGCATGTCTACACAAGAATGCCATGTGCTTGTCTTGCTCGTGAGAACAAAGAATATCAGACACCATCTCAACCTGTGAAGAAATTTGGTCACAAAGCTTATTGCATGGATGAACACCACCATATCTTCATCAGATGGTCCTGATAGTCATTCTGAATCAGCCTATGCTCTGTATCAAGTCCCGGGAGGTTGTACATCTACTCTTCCTTATACAATGGAACTTCAGCTGAATGGATCCTCAATAGTTATGGAGATCAACAATTGAGCATATTCTTCATTCATAAGTGAGATCTCTTTCGACTGTTTGTGGAAAAATGACCAGCTTACACTGACTCTCATTCCATTACGTGAAAATAGTAAAATCTGTGAGTCATGTCTGATAGTAGACCGAGTCTGTTCAGAAGAAACTGGATGTCACAAATCCAGCTAGGCTGGCCTAAGATTCATCAAGTTCATGTTGTCAAGTCTAAAGGAGGTGAATCTTCTGAGAGTATCAAATCTCAAAATTTAGTGAAGCTGTTACAGCAGTTCTCAGATGTCTTCAAGGATGAATTAGGATGCATTTAAGGTACTCAGGCTCAGCTACAGGTAGATCCTGATACCACTCCATGTTTTCTGAAGCTGAGGCCTGTGCATTATGCCTTATGTGACAGAGTAAAGTTGCATCGGAACTTGAGACTGGAACGTTAGGGCATAATTGAGAAAGTATATCACTCTGAGTGGGCAGCACCTATAGTACCAGTCCTTAAACATGATGGAATCAAGTATAGATATGTGGTGATTTTCATACAATCATCAATGCTATATTTAAGACTAATACATTCTACATACTGAATGTTGAAGACCTATAATTCTGACTTGCTGAAGGTGAAACCTTCACAAAGATAGATCTGAGTAATGCTTACCTACAGTTAGTTCTGGATGAATCATCAAAAAAGTATACAACAATAAATATCCACCAAGATCTGTACCTGTATAGCAGGCTTTCATTTGGGGTCTCTTCATCACCTGGCATTTTCCAGAGATTAATGGATAATCTAACAAGTGATATTTCTGGTGTCTGCTGTTACTTGGATGATATTTTGGTAATAGAACCTTCTGATGATGAACAACTGAGTACTCTAAAATTGGTTCTTCAGCTTTTGTGTAATACTGGCATCAAACTCAAGGAGAAATGCACATTTAATGCTGCATCTATATCTTACCTAGAACACAAGACTGATGCTGCTGGACTTCATCAACTGGAAGATAAAGTGAGAGCTGTAAGGGAGGCTCCTGTTTCTATATCCGTTCATGAGTTACATTCATACTTTGGTTTGTTGAACTATTATGGGTAGTTTCTATCAAACCTCTCACCTCTAATGGTTCCTTTAAATCATCTTACCAAGAATGGTATCGTTTAACAGTAGGGAAAGGCTCAAGATCAGGCATTCCCAAAATCCAAGGAAATGTTGAGTTCATCACCTGTTCTTGTTCACTTTCACACATCCAAGGAATTAATATTGGTTTGTGATGCCTCACCTTATGGTGTTGGATTAGTTCTATCCCAGATCATGAATGATGATAAAGAACATCCAATCGGATTCACATCCAGAACACTGTCATCCACTGAAGTGTAGTATTTACAACTGGATAAAGAAGCACTTGCTATAGTGCATGGCATAAAACAATTTCAGCAATATCTCTAAAGGAGAAGATTAAGCATAATGACTGGTCATAAACCTCTACTCACCTTGTTCAATGAAGGGAAAGCTGTACACTAGATGGCTTCACCATATATTCAGAGATGGGCATTTATGTTGTCAGTGTATGGTTATCACATTGTCTTCAAAGCTCGTAAAGATCATGGAAATGTGAGTGCTATGAGTAGATTACTTTTGAAGTCTTGGGATTCTACCCTACTGTCACTGTGGATATGGTAAAAATCTGGACTCAAAGGAATCCAGTTCTGTTGGAAGTGTATGAGTTCACCCATGATGGATGGTGAAGGAGGTGTAGTGAATCAAGATTTGATACCTTATGCTAGTCAAAAAAATAAGCTAAGATGAGGCTGGAAGTGTACTCTGCAGAAGTCATCTGATTATACCAAATCAAGGTTAACAACATGTGTTGGAAGACTTACATGATACTCACTCTGGAATCGTCCAGATGAAGGCACTGATTAGATCATTTGTCTGGTGGCCACATCCGAATGAAGACATCAAGTTAATAGTGCATGAGTATTCAACCTGTCAATCTGTAAGGAAACCATCACCTGAAAGTCCACTGCATCCATGGGAATGGCCTTCCACACCATGCGATCATCTAGGACCATTCATGGGCAAGATGATTCTGGTCATGATTGATGCTCATTGAAAGTGGATTGACACTTCTATTGTTTCAAGCACATCATCATCTGTAACTATTGAGAAACGTATGCAACTATTTGCTACACATGGACTTCCAATGTCTCTTGTATCAAACAATGGCAGTAGTTTCACCAGCTTAGAATTTAAAGCAATCATGAAGAACAATGGAGTTAAACATATCTGTGCTAGTAAATACCACCCTGCAACTAATGGTCTCGCTGAATGTGCTGTTCAAACAACCATGAATAGTATCAAGAAGATGGAAGGTGAAACTCTTGAAACCAAACTCTACTGATTTCTAGCAAGATATCAGATAACTCCTCAAAGCACTAAAGGAGTATCACCTGTGGAACTTCTACTGAAGCAGAAGATTCAGTCTTACTTGGACTGATTGCACCCCAAAGTAGAGTCCAAGATACTCAGAGAACAATCTAGATAGAAACAGTCACATGGCCTTCATGCTAGAGCCAGATAGTTATACATCAGAGACACAGTCCACGTGAAGAACTTTGAACAAGGAACTGTCTAGTTGTCTGACGAGATTATTCATGCTGGACCCTTATCGTACAAGGTTAGATTTTATGATAACTGTATGGTGAGACATCACAATGATCATCTTCATATTCATCTCAGTGAAAAGGATTTGTCTGAAGATAATCCTACAATGATGTAATCACAACTAAATCTTCAAACACCTACTGATCAAGGAATGGTCACCAAGTGGGATTACATTGTTGTACCTGAACATCTGCCAACATCTGGACCACTGTACCTTTTACTCCCAAACCTCTTGATGAGAACATTAGTCAAGAACCATTAGCACCATTAATGAGATTGGGTCATTCTATTATACCACCCATGAGATTGGACCTCTAAGAACATTTTGTGTTGTGTAACTTGTAGAATCAGAATTTGTGTTGAAAATCTTAGAGTACTGTATTCTGAGTATTTTTCCAAATCTGAAAAAATAAGAGAAATATGATGTTCATTTAATTACCCCTAACTATTAATTTAGTATTACTCCATAATTATATCATGCACTTGTGAGGTGTTGTGAATAGTGCTCCCTTACTCAAGTACCAGTCATTTACAAAATGTTCAGTTTCATTTGGTCTACGTTATATAAACTACTGTATGACATATTCTACGTCAAAGTGTCTTAACAACAATTTACCATGACTCTTTTCTAGATATAGGACTAGCCTATTCTTTTTGTGCATTTTTAAGTTATAATTTATTACAGTTTCCACATAGTGTGAAGTTTATGTTTAAAATTTCTCAACAGTATGTATTTTCTAATGGCTTTTAAATTTGCAGTTTGTTACAAATTGTTTGTCACACACACACAGAACAACTATATGACTTCTCCGTGGAGTGTATTTTCTGATGTGTTTTAAGGAACTAGTTGTTCCAAAAAGTTTTTACATAAACTGCACAACAGTATGGTTTCTACCTAGTATGTATTCTTTGATGTATTTTTAAGTAAGAGTTACTTCCAAACTGTTTTCCACAAAATGCACAACTGTAAGGTTTCTCCCCAGTATGTATCCTTTGATGTACTTTTAATTTACTATTTGTTCCAAAGTCTTTTCCACAAACTGAACAACAGTAAGGTTTCTCTCCAGTGTGTATTCTTTGATGTATTTTTAATTTACTATTTGTTGCAAATTGTTCTCCACAAACTGCACAACTGTAAGGTTTTTCCCCAGTGTGTATTCTCTGATGCACTTTTAAATCACCATTTGTTACAAACTGTTTTCCACACACAATACAACTGTAAGGTTTCTCCCCAGTGTGTGTTCTTTGATGTATTTTTAATTGGCCATTTGTTTGAAATTGTTTTCCACAAAATGCACAACTGTAAGGTTTCTCCCCAGTATGTGTTCTTTGATGTAATTTTAATTTACTATTTCTAAGAAACTGTTTTCCACAAATTGCACAAGTGTAAGGTTTCTCCCCAGTGTGTATTCTCTGGTGTAGTTTTAATTCATTATTTCTTCCAAAGTGTTTTCCACACACTATACAACTGTAAGGTTTCTCCCCAGTGTGTGTTGTTTGATGCTTTTTTAAAGAGCTATTTGTTTGAAATTGTTTTCCACAAACTGCACAAATGAATGGTTTCTCCCCAGTGTGTATTCTTTGATGGATTTTTAATTCACTATTTGTTCGAAAGTGTTTACCACAAATGGCACAGCTGTAAGGTTTATCGCCAGTGTGTATCCTCTCATGTTGTTTTAGGTTACCCACTGTTCCAAATCCTTTTCCACAAACTACACAAATAAACGGTTTCTCTGCAGTGTGTGTCCTCTCATGTTGTTTTAGGTTACCCAGTGTTCCAATTTCTTTTCCACACACTACACAACTATATGGTTTATCTGCAGTGTGTGTCCTCTCATGTTGTTTTAGGTTACCCACTATTCCAAATTCTTTTCCACACACTTCACAATTATATGGTTTCTCTCCAGTGTGTATTCTTTGATGCATTTTTAATTCACTGTTTGTTCTAAAGCATTTCCCACAAACTACACAATTGTAAGGTTTATCCCCCGTGTGTGTTCTTTGATGTATTTTCAATGTACTACTCGTTCGAAATTGTTTTCCACAAACTGCACAACTGTATGGTTTTTCCCCAGTGTGTATTCTTTGATGTATTTTTAAGTTACTATTTGTTCCAAACTGCTTTCCACATACTACACAAATAAATGGTTTCTCTCCTGTGTGTATCCTCTTATGTTGTTTTAGATTATCCACTGTTCCAAACTCTCTTCCACACACTACACAACTATAAGGTTTCTCTCCAGTATGTATCCTCTCATGTTGTTTTAGGTTACCTACTAATCCAAATTCTTTTCCACACACTACACAACTATATGATTTCTCTGTGGTGTGGGTCCTCTTATGTTGTTTCAGGTTATCTACAGTTGCAAAATTTAGTCCACAAATTATACAACTATATGGTTTGTCATCACTCTGAGGTATATTAGTTTGTTTTAGCTTATTTGTATTTAAACTTATTTTTCCATACACATCGTTTGGTTTTGGAGATTTGACAACTTCTGTAAAGGAATCTTCTTGCCTTAAAACTTGATAACCAGGAAATTGACTTCCACAACAGTTGTTAACACTAGTCTTTATATCTGAAATTAATATATATGATGCAACAAATATATCATAAGTTACTATATTTGATGAACTTCTAAATATATTTTAACAGTCTTATACAATCAATATAAATATCAACATCAAAATATAAAGGTAAAGAATAATTATTTCATACTTTATAAAACTTTTCTCCTTAGATTGAAATAGCATTGAAAACATAAAATGGAGGCAACAGAACATGCTCAAAAAAAAAGATTTGTAGTAGACAAACTTTAAAATCAACTGTGGAAATATAATAGTAGTATTACAACAACTAACATTATTTGAAGCCAGCATTTTACTGTAATAATTTTAAGAGATATCTTAACTTCTTACATCAAGTGATTAATTATCACAATAACATCCTACTGCTTTATTGTCTTAACATGGTGGTTAATATCAATATGTTAAAGATTCTGTTGAAACTAACTAAATGCATGGTAAATGAATATTCATATAAACCCATATTTTGTCAAAAGTAAACTGTTTATCAATGTTATTTATTATATCAAGTTCACGACAAAATCCTCTTACTACAAACTGTATGAGGTACAAGTATTTGGAAAATCACATCCATGGAAGTTAGTGGTAGCAGTATAATCTATGCACAACAAAGATTAGATCAATTAATGTGACAGAAATAATCAACTACTCAAAATTAGTGTTTCCTATTATACCCATTTTAAATTATTTCTGCCATATATTAGTCAAAATTACAATTAAATTGACTGTTATGAATATAAATGAAATAATCAAAATTATTGTTTCTGATTATTACTATGTTCTATTATTCCAATTACTTTAGTTTACTTAAGATCTGCAGGAACTGTCTTTCACAGTTTTACCTTGAAACTTGTTTCATGGGTTTTAAATTTCATAGAAAAATTACATTAAAAATGCACCAATTTTCCATTACATAAATTTAGAAAAAACGTTTTTAAGACACTATTCTGTTTTTCTAAACAACATTTTTCATACTTATGCCTTTGCAATCATGCCGTGCACCTGAACTGACATGTTGATAATCCACCTTTTGAAGCAATAAACTTGTCTGGTTGTGTTACGGCAGGTGTTGTAGGTACTTAAGTGACTACAATTTAAGTCTCCTCATTGTTTGCTGTTTCCAGATTATAAGTTACTATCTGCACATATAGCATATTGAGAACAGTTACTCAAATGGCTTGGTGGATATAAAATTACTTTCAATTTCTTAGCAATATCAAACAACAAACAGTCACAACTTCATTACATACCCCTCTCAAAATGTCTTTATGGAAATGGATAAAATCGACCAATCCTCCCAAAAACAGTGGCCTTCCAAACCCACAACAGTGTGACACAGAACTTCATTTATCCAATCATAAAGGTTCTTTATTTCGCTGGAATTATTGCTCGTGGAAACATATGTATGTACCACAAAAACAGGACAAGTTAATTCCACAAGAATAATAAGTAATTTACAGTATCCAAGTGTTAAAAATATTTCCATCGTGATTATTTATTGTTAAGTACAAAGCTACAAAATGAGCTATCTGTGTTAAACTGACTGAGGGTATCAAAATGTAACTTTAATGCTATAAGTTGTTGTTCACGGCAAGGTAGTTCAGCTTTGGGGCAGCATGGCCTGGTCATTCAAGTCTCATGTTTAATTCCTGTTCCCATCATATTTGCTCGTCTTGTCTTTGTTATGGCAAAGATATTATTACTAAAGTTATCTTACACTGTCACTAATTTTGAACAGCTAACAAGATGAAAGGCAATTGGTTAGAAGCACCCATTGCTATCTCTAAAGTTATCTTACACTGTCGCTAATTTTGAACAGCTAACAAGATGACAGGCAATTGGTTAGAAGCACCCATTGCTAACTCTAAGGTTATCTTACACTGTCACTAATTTTGAACAGCTAACAAGATGAAAGGCAATTGGTTAGAAGCACCCATTGCTAATTCTAAAGTTATCTTACACTGTCAGTAATTTTGAACAGCTAACAAGATGAAAGGCAATTGGTTAGAAGCACCCATTGCTAACTCTAAGGTTATCTTACACTGTCACTAATTTTGAACAGCTAACAAGATGAAAGGCAACTGGTTTGAAGCACCCATTGCTAACTCTTTGAATAATGAAGTGTGAAACAGATTGTAAATTTTCTGATTTAATAGACTGTGTTATCTAATTTATAATTCCATAACTGTATTCTTTAGTTTTGTAAATGCAAATGTGGATCTATGGTAAGGTTTAGTATCCCCCCCCATCCTTACCCTACTATATATACACCTGGAAAAAAGTTAAGCACCCC